GTCCCAAGGGGGACGACAAAGGACTCGGGTCACCTATAGTTTTAGAGACGTTGTTAACCATTGATTCGCGACGTATCAGACGATAAGCGCGCTCGTTCTCGTCTCCGCCTCCTACGCGCCTTCTCTTTCTCTGCTTCCTCACTTTCTACTCTTATCCTTTAAAGGGCCAAGAGTGCCGGTTGTGGAAGCTCTAGTTGTTATTCGCAGCAGGCTTGGTCACTCGACCGACGGATAGCTCCATGTCACAAGCAACAGATACTATTGAAGCACAACTGACACATGAAAGGGTGGGGCAGTGAGGGGAGAAAGAACGAAAGACTCATGGACAACAAGGAAAAGGGAAGAGCGCATGACTAACCATCGGAGTTGTATGATGTATTGCCCATAATGGCCGAAGAAACAACGATGTAACGACCCGCGATAACGATCGGATCGGGTGGAGAAGAGCTCAAACCGCAAAAAGCCCGAGCACTGAAAGGGGTGGAAGAGAAAGAGAAAAGAAGACCCGGTATAATAATGCTACATGAGATGGATATTCGGCATTTGTGGCCTGCAGGCAGGAAGTTGGGTCGCGGACTCCGATTTCTGGTGTGATTCCCTTTTTTTTTTCCTGGTCGGCGGGCGCGCAGGGACCAACAAGTGCAATCGATAAACCGACCCCCCTTTTTCCAATTATTCGAAATTGCAGGACAAGTGCACAGTATAGTAATTGTCTCCTCTAAAAGAAGGTCGTCTGCCGTCTGAATGAAGAATAAGCGATCAGCGGACTGATTGCGAAAAGAGTAAATTCTAGAGGGCAGCTGCCTCGTAGGTCACAGGCACCACCACCAGGTATATGTTGCCGGAGCACGCGGAGCTCAAGGGTATGGTAGACAAATCTAACGTCTCATTGAGGATTTAAGAATACCTACGCTTTTGTTATCGTCATTGACTAATGACAGAAGGTAGATGTGTCCACGTTTAGGTAGATAAAGGCCAGAACTTGAGATAGAAAGAAGAAAAGACAAAAGCTATCCAAAAGCCTGAAGAGAGCGGACAAAAGGCGGGGAGATGAGATGAGATGGCATGGATAGAAAGGACAAGTCTGGTTAATGGATATAACCACGGGCCATTTGTTGTTTTTATAGTTGTGGAGACTATGGATGTGCTTAGAACTTAGGGTCTTAGGCACATAAGTAGGATCATCCATCTATGCTGGAGGAGGCAATGACGTCCTTTGATTGTTGGGCTTCTCTTTGATTGTATGGACCGATCGAGACATATGGAGCACAGTGTTTTCTTTAGTCTGTTTTTAGTCGCACGTGGGGTACAACTGGTATGGTATGCCAGGATCATGGAGGAATAGCAAGATAGAGTATAGATATGAGGCTGTAACTTTCTAGATGACGGGAGAAGTGAAACTTGAAAGATTTGACAGTAAGAACTAATCAAGATGCTGTAGAAAGATGTATCAATCAGGCATACTGGAACCTGGGTAGGATATGTCTACGGAGATTCAATTCTCCCTCACTCTATGGAGTAGATGTAGATACCTGAAACAACAAAACAATCAATGGTGATGTAATGTGGTAGCTCCCCCGGTATGGAGTCCTTAAGATTATACCAGTCAACGCCGCGGAGCGGCTCCCAATACACCAGGTAACTGTTTGCTATCATTTGAAGGTGGATTCCGGTCCCATTTCCTTCACCCCTCCATACGCCTTTCGACCACAATGGTTGAACCCTCATGTTGTGATCTTGTGATCAGCCTTCTTCGTAGAGATGTGCACTTCTCTCTTCCCTTATTAACAGTGGGTCAGTGGAAATCTCAGGGCCACTCCAGAGAGACCCTTGTAGGTTGGGCTTGCAGACTAAGGTAGCTGTGAACTAATCCTTATGATTGGCACACATGAAAGCCCAATCGGCGCAATCTGGAGATCTACGGTCTGACCAGCCCTCGTCCACACAGTAGACTTACTCTCAGAACGGACCTTTGCTCTCATTGAGGAGTATCGTAATATGACATTGTATAATGTAAGTTGTGCTAGGTTAAATTATACTTCAACCGACCACTCCATATTACGCATCAGATTCAAGGAAGTGAGGGTCGGAGTGTCCCTGGTGGCAAGCCATCCCCCTAATACGTGTTGTTGCTTCCTTGATCTTGAGCCTTGGCGTCCCCAAGACTGCGCAACGCGAGACTATCGACCTCATCCTGAGAGCGTTGCTGTTCATCGGCTCCATTGCCAAACAGTGTATGGGGCTTGTTCCTTGTGTCACCGTATCGAGTCTCCTCCGGCGGTACCGAGGCCGGGCTGACAAAACTGGAAAGATGCCGGCTACCGCCAAGCATCCAAGAGTACTCGGAATCTGCCAGAGATGGGCGAGCTGCCGGCCTTAATGGCAGTGATGAAGGCACTTTGTTACGTGACGGCAACTTATGAAGCTTATTCTCCACTGCGATAGATGAGACGGATGGCCTCCCAGGATCGCTCGGGGCTTGCTGCCCTTCTTTTGCCCCTCCGTCTTCGACCTCCTTGTCCGTGGATATTGGAGGCTCAGAAGGGACATTCAAAGAGGTATCATTAGCCGCACTCTCACGTCCGGCAACAGTGATCAAAGCCTTGGAAGGGTCTTCCAGGCATGCTTGAACCGACTGGATCTGCGTGAGAGCTTGTCTCAGGGCGTCTGCAGTCGTGGTTTTGAGATCTTCTGCTTTCATCAGTTGAGTCCGTATGTCGTTCAGAGCTCGACTGAGCGTCTTGGCCAGTGATTTGTTTCGTTCCTCCAAGGTCTGTATCTGAGCTTTGAGATCGATCACCCTTTTTGGCTCCTCGGATTTCGACAAATTCCTTCTATGCACCGCGGATGGCGTGCTATCATACAGGGCAGTATGCGGGAGCCTCTCCGGCTGCATCGCCTGCATGTTCCTCCTAGCTTCGCTGACTGCACCTCGTACTGCTTTGGCTACACCCCATGATTCAGTACGTCGCTGAAGACCTTCGGAGAAATCCTGGAGTAGACCTTCGAAGCTCTTAGGACTACTCCTCGCGGGTGATCTCGACGGAGAGCTTGTTTGGCTGTCCTCCCTGGAGTCGTTACGCAAGTGGAACCGTCTCAGTGAAAGGAATCTTTCACCTGATCTATCGAGCGTCTTGGTAGGATCGGGTGGCTTTCCCGAGTATTTCGAGATGAGAAATCTGCCTCTTTCTGGCGTGGGATTTTGCTCCAGATACAGGCCATCGTACACAAAAGCCTGTGGTGAGTGCGGTTGCGGGGAAGGATAGCGAAGTAATGTCGTCAGAGCGCTCGAATATCCGGCACTCAATACTAAGGTGTATCAGCATACCAAGCGACAAGGATGTAAATGATGGATCGTATCAGACGTACATTGCCACCGAATGCGTAGGAGCATTGCAACACATGTGAACTCAATAAGCTCCGCCCGTAATCCCTCTGCAAAGAGGAGATCCCACAAGGAAAGTACATCTTGGAAGGGAAATTCACGACCAAATAACAGGCGCATCCACCGACTACCCGAAAAATTAGCAAGCCTTCTCAGCTGAACAAATAGAAGTGCTCGTCCTGGTGCACTTACGTGAGGAAGATTTGAGGCAGAATTTCCAGCGCTTGTAGATGATCGGCTAACTCGAGGTCTGTTGTCGTCAAGAGATTCTGATGAATGTGCTGACACAGGTTGACAATAGGTATCTCATCCATCTGACCGTTGGCAGAGCGTTCCTTGTTATGCTCGTAATACACTCGAGTAGTTTGCATAACAGAGCAAAACAGCGCGAAAGAGTCGTGTTCAACATAGTCAGAGTTGAGCAGGTGCAGCATCAAATCATCGCCCTCTTCCTTAGCTGAGGACTCTTCGAGCGCCTTCCCATCAACCGCATCCCCGTGAATAACCCACAGAATAGGCGCCAATAGCTCATGCATTCCTTGTCGATAACCAAGATCCGGGTTTAACTTTGCATAGATAAACAGAATATCAATCATTTTCGCCTTGGTGGCGGGTTCACGGAAGAAGAAGTTCTCTTGTAAGCATCGATCAACATCCTGGGATATATCCGCTCTCATCTGCTCATCTTGTCGTAGAGTTTGCCAGGGAGACTTTTTGCGGCAAACACAGGGTCAGATGTGCGAGCAATGACAAGTCACGGTAGCAGACTAGAAGTAGCATACCTCTGCATCATCCGCTAGTGGGTCGATTGTTGACGGTAAATCATCTGGATGCTCAATGTACTTCAGATAGTGCGCTTTCAGCGCGGTATATGCGTCCCGCGACTCGGATGTCCTTCGTGACCATTGTGAGCGATCGAGATCGTCGAACAGCAGGAACGCCTGCAGGCAGGTAAGCTAAATTGACCGTCTTGCCAAGTGCCGCAGCTGCATGCCTTCCAGCAGACAGATCTCAATCCGTCATTGCATAACTTGTCTCCTTGTTCTGATTCGATCGCATCTCGGAGGGCGGAGGGCGTAGCATTGTAGCGAAACAGGGTATTCCATCTCTGTCTAGAGAACCATTAGCAAGTCTTTTCCTCTGGCGTTACGGGCAATTGTACCTTGTGTCCGAAAGGGTTCTCATCTCTCCATAGGGCTTTCAGCAGCGATGTCTGAATGAGCAGACTTGCGATGACGGAAGGTGGACTGTCAAGTGATGCGGATCGGATCATATGAATGGAGCCTTAGGTTTTGGGCGATCATTGTTTAGTGGCGGGCGGTGGTCCCCGCCGTATGGAAATGCGCTTTACTTCTTCATGATCATTATGGTCGCCTCAAGATCCTCCAAATCCTCGCCCTCTTATCCGAAACCACGCAATGATCTATAATATCTGTATAGACTCGAGAAGCGGATTCGCACCATAGAGATCTGGTGGGTTGGACAGCAGATTATGACTGGCACGGATGACATTTTTCGACATTATCGGAGTTCGACTGAGAGCTGAAAGCATTCCACCTGCTCACACGGAATCTCTGAACCTACGGAGTGACTGTTATTCTCGCCTTCTATTTCAATGTCCGCAGACTTATTCGCCGAATTTGGAAACAAGGCACCATCTGCGCAGCCTTCAAATGTCTCACATCAGCGGCGGCCCGGGTCACAAGCACACTCGCTGATCCCGGATTTGGACGTATTAGAAGATGTGGTCTCCTCTAATCCTCAAACCGATGTTCAAGATCAGGCCTCCTCGTCACATATAAAACAGTCACAGGCACCACCAAACCAGTTTGCATTAGCCTCGAACACGGATTTTCCAAAGTTGCAGGACTATAACGATGGAAGTAATGTATTATTTGACGCGACTTTGGAGTCTATGCCCGATGATGAGGAGGACGAGGACTGGGGCGAATTTGAATCTGCGGAGTCAGCGACAGGCAGAAACCAGTCAGCAGCACGCTTTCAACAGCAGGATGGTCTACGGGACAGTCAAAGTAGACCCAAAGATGCTACTACGCTGATTGACGTGATGGATACTCTATCAATTGCGGACTCGAAACTACCAAACGCTAGCAAGCCCGCTGTCAGACAGTCGATCGATAAGCCTAGGTCACATATTAAGGCTGTTGATTCTATTGCTGTACCCGACCCTGCGCAGGACGATTCGTTCGAAGATTGGGGTGAATTCATTGATGGGCCACCTGCAGAGGTCAAGCCACCGAAGTTCCAAGGCTTCTCCAAATCGAGGAGTCCTGAGGGCAAAATCACGCAGGCTCGGACAGCCGTCCTTACGTCTCCTAGTTTTACTATCCCAGGAGAAAAAGTCTCCGAGTCTCAGATCCGTCCTACAAACATACCCCCGCCGTCTGTTCTCTTGGAGTTGTTTCCCAGGCTTTTTGAGAAACTTCGTGAAGAAGCTACCAAGGCGAGAAGATGTCTGCAACAGGAAGACCAGGTCGAGACCGCCGCATCCCTTGTGCTCTGCACTTTGAAAGTGGTCGCAAGAGTAGTTGCTGGTCGCACTCTGCGATGGAAACGGGATACAATACTGAGTCAAAGCATGCGAATAGGCCCCGCACGTTCAGGGAAGCCAGGCGGAATGAAACTCAGTACCGTAAACAAGAACGAGAGCATCAAGGAACAACAGGAGGCTGTTGACGTCCTCACAATGTGGCGTGATCAAGCCGCACTCTTCAATTCTGTGATCCAGGCGTCCGGAAGGCAGCCGATCCAGGCCATTGCAGAAAATGCTCGTGTAGTAACAGCTACCGCGGCCCATGGAGCCATCAAAGCTCCTCATGCTTGCGCCCTTTGCGGGCTGAAGCGTGATGAGAGATTGCCAAAAATCGATGAGAACGTGCAAGACAGCTTCGGAGAATGGTGGGTTGAGCACTGGGGTCATAGTGAGTGCAAAGGCTTTTGGGAAACGAACATGGGCCTCCTAGCTCAACGATAATAATGCCATACAGACCATGATTAGAATGCCACATTCTCCGAGTTTCTAGGATTTGCAGCTTTTTAGCGCGGTTTTTAGACGCCTTAGTTGATGGCAAGACTTTCTTTGCGCCATTCTAGTTCTTTGTCTTCGCAGTGCAGAGTATGTGGCATGCATCGGACGTTTCACTGCAAACTCAAGATACTAGTTGATTGCTCGAGCCGACATAGCTCGGTATATACTCTGATATCAGAGATAAGACCATCCTACCTTCGAAACAGAAGGGATCTTGTAGAAAATGAACCTGAGGTCTGTCCAACTGAACAGGGCTAATTCTTAAGATGAAAGAGGTGGTTCAGGATGTTCAATGATCAGGAGCTGAGTGGCTGCTCTTGCGCCACTGGTGGTGGCTGGTCTGGGCGTCCTGACTGTGTCACGTACTTGACCTTGTGGTCCCGTGCGGGGGTACTTGAGTGTCAGCTTGGAATGAGCTTATGAGCAACTGCCTGATCACTACGCCTCCTTTTCCCTGCCTATGTACCTTGAGTACCACTCTGTACCTGCCGCGTCATTTGTATCACATCTTCACTGGTCACGCTTATCTTCCTAATAGCTTACCTTGAAGCAAATTTAGAACATTTGGTACTGCCTACCGTGGTCAACATACATGATCCCTTTCACCCGGTGCTACAGCCGCTGTTTCCGCACTACCCCATATATACTTTCCTTCTTCCAAAGTTGTACAGTCAGTCCATAAAGCGGGGAGCGTATCTTCCGGAACTCTCCATTCGTTCAGGCTTGAAGCCACGTCAACTATAAGTATTGTTGGTGGGGTTCTTCCCAGACCGGGAACTTCTTGTGAGGACATCAAGAAGGGCGGGCAAATCAGAACGCCAGTATAACTCGTTGATCGCTCCTCTCAGAATTATTCCAAACTCCATACACTGAGGCAACTACGGATTACCCGCCTTATCTCGTTGAGCTCGCACTCCAGGACTTTTCTTGAGAGGTCGGTGGTAGTGGGAAGGCAAAGCGATACAGGTCACCATGGGTCTTGCGTACAACGTCTATCTCACTTCCAATAAAATATTCGGGTGCAAGAAATGCAAAACGCACCTTGCCGATTACAATGATATCATCAGTCGGGTCAGTATTACCGTACTGTGGTTCTTCTCTGTTACATGATTGATGCATCTGCTGATCCATTCATCTCTACCGCAGAATTTCCGTGGCCAACATGGCAAGGCGTACTTGTTCAACACCGTTGTCAATGTAACCCACTCCGAGGCTGTGGAGCGTAACATGACCACTGGAAGGCATATCGTCCGAGACATATTCTGCAGGCAATGCGCCGAACTAGTAGGGTGGAAGTACGACAAAGCGTACGAGGCGAGTGAGAAATACAAGGAAGGAAAGTTCATTTTGGAGGAAGAATTATTATGTGTGGTGTGTTGAAAGCCAGCTTCCATCCCGTGATGATGGGCTGTCCTTTCGACGACACAAGAGGCATTCAACTACCTGACAGCAAAGTCGTCATTGAACGACTTGGAGGAGGGTTTGTGACTCAGATCTTCAAAGCTTGATTCGAATGAGCGTTCTACTGTGAGTGTTTAGGGGAAAGGCGTTGTACAAGGTGTTCTGGACTTCATCCGTTTCAAACTGCATGGGCGTTTACAGCAGGTTAGGGTGCAATAGAGGCCCCCTAAATCAATACACCGTCAAACGGCTCTTCTTCATAGCCCTTCATATATCGCACCTGTGTAGATGCAGGTACCAGCTATTCTACATTTTCACCCTGGATTGTCTATTGCAGTCTGGCTTTCCAGTGAGTCGTAGCTTCACATCAAACCGCACATAACTTAGGTTTTTGTCCTCGTAGCATGCATATATTGTCAGCGTGGATAAATGTACTGTTTGTTTTCAATAGCTAAAAGAGTGTCGTAAGCCAATACCATTTCCTAGATCTATAATGCCCTGCCCGGAGACATCCATGAAGTAAAAACAGTGGATATTATACGCAATTACGAAGACCAATTACCAGAAGCAAGCCTCTCCCAAATCTGGTATCCAATTATTTTTAGTCATAATTGGAATACCTGAAAGCTGGATGCTGCCCCGCATCAAAGAACAATATGTGAGGGACTGCCGTTATCGGTGTGGAGCAGGGCAATCTTCTCAATTCACTCCGCATCCTTGCTTTTCAAGACGAACTCATATATAGATGTCTACCACTAAGGCCTATTGCAAGGAACAGTAGCTCGTCATATTGACACAGCATGGCCACCAAGGATGCTATGCGTGGGGTCGTGTTCCACGAGCCCTTCAAGGTGGCCGTTGAGGAACGACCAGTGCCCGAAATTCAGGATCCGGCCGATATCGTCGTGAAGGTCACCTATACTGCCCTCTGTGGGAGGTAAGTACACCCGCTGCTACGATAGTGATCGTATATGTGCTAATCGAGCCGGGGGGTGGTAGCGACCTTCATACGTACCGTGGCATTGAGCCTTCTGGCTCGGGGTTCATCATGGGCCATGAATTCACCGGTGTTGTTGTTGAGACTGGTGATGCTGTCACGAAGTTTCAGAAGGGGGATAAGGTTGTGAGTGCCTTTACAACGTCCTGGTATGTTGCGCCAGAAACTTGAGTTTTGGTTAGATTCAGCCTACGGAGTACATGTTGATATAGACCAAAAACAGCGGCAAATGCTTCTACTGCAAACAAGGGTATTCCTCCCGATGCGAGGAGAATATCCTGTTCGGATGCGAAGCCTTGGATGGAGGACAGGCGGAGTATGTGAGTGCTCTTTGCTGGCCCATGGTTACCGCTTAGACATTTACCAATGCCGCATAGGTCCGAATTCCAAATGCAGAGGGCACTGCAATGAAGGCACCCGAGGGGATCGACGAAAAGTTCCTTGTTCTCATGGGCGACATCTTCCCAACTGGCTACTTTGCGGCTAGCAATGCGTTCAAGGGACGGACCCCAGAGCAGATCTCCGAGCAGACAGTCGTGCTCATCGGCTGCGGCCCCGTCGGGATGTGTGCTTTGATCAACGCACTGGAGTTCAAACCGAAGCATTTACTGGCTGTTGACTCCGTCCCGGCCAGACTCGAACTTGCCAGGTCGCTCGGTGCCGAGCCTTGGAACTTCAAGACAGACGGAGAAGGACTGAGCAAGCGCGTCGAAGAGTTGACTAATGGGCGAGGAGCGGATGCTGTCATTGAGGTGGTTGGTCTTAGCCCAGCGCTGAGGACTGGATTCGATCTGCTGCGGCCGTGGGGTATTCTCAGCAGTGTGGGAGTTCACAACGGGGAGGTGAGTCTGTATCAGCAGTCAGGAATCTAAGCGCGATGGTCCTGACCACTTTCAAGATTCCATGGAATGGAAGCGAGGCATACGGAAAGAACCTCACTGTCCAGATGGGCAGATGCCCCGTCAGGTCTGTTTCTGAGGCAGCCTTGGAGGTTTTAAAGAAGAATCAGCATCTGCTAGGGTACGTCTGCGCATCATTTGTGGAAAGCTGCAGAAGCATGCTTGTTTGACTTCTGGTTTGGCTAATGAGTAATCAGATTCATGACCGAGAATATCATGCCCCTCTCGCGAGCGGTGGAGGCCTACGAGCTGTTCAATGCGATGAAAGTCCAAAAGGTGATCTTCGAAGCTGATAAATGAAATAGTATCCATATCCCAGGACAGTGTAAGAGTCATCCATCTTCTGTGGCGCAATACGCCTATAGTATAGAGAGGTACTCTTAGTATAAACGCATGTCTTCTGCAGCGGAAAAGCTACCTAGATAAATAGAGCGTGACCAAACTTCATCTCCGCCTGCCAAAAACAAACAGAATCCCCAACCCAATAAGAGCCAAGCAAACAGCCTTCCCGCAGTAAGGTAAGGTAAACCACGTACCCAAAGCAGAGTGGCACTACTACTTTCTCCTCCTCTTTTCCTCTAATATTATTATTCTCATCTTCTTTCCTCGTCCTCCTCCTCTTCACCTCACACCCCCTCCTCCTCCCTCCGTTCAGTAACTTATCCTCTTTCTCCTCCATCTACCGTCTTCTCCCACTCCATCCCTCCATTTCCTTCCCTTCTTCCTCTCCGTCTCCTTTACTTCTCTTCCTCTTCCTCCTCTTTCTCACCATTCCGTTTCCCTGTCTCTCTTGGATTTCTTCTCCGCCTCCCCCGCCTACGGAAACCCCTCTGAACAGCTCAACGACTTACACCCCTCCAACACCTCTTTGTCCGCCGTTATACCCTCGTCTATTCCGTCTCATCTCTCCTCATCGGCTATCCACCTCTTCTCGACCTTGATCATCCTTCCTAGGTAGGCTTTCTCCATTTCGTCTTTTATTTCGGTGCTCCATGTGCACAAATCAACATCAGATTTGGTCCTCTATGGGGTCTGTCTATGCCACGCTCTCCGCACCATGAGCTCATCATGATCGTTCTGGAGGAAACTGCTAGTCAACCATTTCCGTGTTTTGAACGTATTCACTGACCAGCAATAGAACGACCCATTCTAGGAGCTTTTTGTTGAATTTTACATCTCACCTGCCAAGACTATATCAATCACTCATCTCCACTTCTAAACCATGGACTCCACCGAGATGCGCGACGCCCCTCCGGTTGACGAGACGATGGCCGATGCCATGAATGTTGCCGACGAGGGTGACATGGAAATCACTCCGAAGACCGAAGAGGAATACGCGCAGTCTATGCTGACCCTCCGCGCCATCGTCTCCTCTAAGGAAGCAGGCGTGATTATCGGCAAAGCCGGTAAAAACGTGGCCGATCTCCGTGATGAAACCGGTGTCAAGGCTGGCGTGAGCAAGGTCGTTCCTGGCGTTCATGATCGTGTCTTGACCGTCACGGGGCCTCTGCAAGGTACGGCGCGGGCTTATGCCTTGGTTGCCAAGGGCTTGCTTGAAGGAGCCCCGCAAATGGGCATGGGTGGCATTGTGAACAACAATGGAACTCACCGTATGTTTCCCTTTCTCCATGGAGGATTCCGGACCATCTGCAACGACTTTGTCTAAGCACGCGCTTGTGCAGCTTTTGAACCCCCATTCACTAACAGATAGTGTCTAGCTGTCCGCCTCCTGATCTCCCACAATCAAATGGGAACCATCATCGGTCGACAAGGTTTGAAGATCAAACATATCCAGGATGCTTCCGGTGTACGAATGGTCGCTCAGAAGGAAATGCTTCCTCAGTCTACCGAACGGATTGTGGAAGTGCAGGGAACTCCAGAGGGTATTGAGAAGGCTGTTTGGGAGATTGGAAAATGCCTCATCGATGACTGGCAGCGGGGAACTGGCACAATCCTTTACAATCCTGCTGTTCGTGCATCGGTTGGCGGATCCACCTCGATGAACACAAGCAGCGTGGGCAATGGCTACAACAGTCGTCCGTACAACCGCACCGGTAACGGCGCCGATTTCAGCGACGGCCAATCCGGCGGCTACGGCAGACGCTCTAACCCAGATACCTCCAACCGCGGCTATCCCCTTGTCACTGAGGACGGCGAAGAAATTCAAACTCAGAATATCAGCATTCCTGCGGACATGGTCGGTTGCATCATCGGCAGGGGTGGAAGCAAAATCACCGAGATTCGCAGAAGCTCTGGAGCCCGCATTTCCATCGCTAAAGCGCCTCACGATGAGACCGGAGAGCGCATGTTCACGATCATGGGCAGCGCTCAGGCTAATGAGAAGGCTCTGTACTTGTTGTACGAAAACCTCGAGGCCGAGAAGACTCGCCGTAGCCAGTTGCCTCAGGAATAAATGCTCTATATGGTCTAATGGGTCGACATGTTTCGTCACATCACCCGCCTTATTCCGAGGAGCAAGCATTCTTTTTTTTTTTTTTTTTTTCTTCAATGTCTTGCTTTCATTTTCATGTGTCTGTTTTTGTTTATTTCGTCGGTCTCATTATCTTACATCCAATTCAGCTGCCTTAATTACAGGCAAGCCACAGAGTTGCTGCGGTGGAGCACACATACCTATCAATTACCATGGATCTCACAATCTTCCACCGGTCGCCTCTTGCTGAATGACTTTCGAGCTCAGAAAAACGAATGACACCATCTACTGATACTGAGTATCTACGTCTCCTCCCAGCTCCATCTCTTTGAGCATCTTCGTTACCAAATTCTCCTCTGGCTCCTCCTTTACCAGCTCACGTCTCCTCTGAAAAGTTGCTCGCTGCAATATCGTTGTCCTCTAGCTCCCTATTCTCAAGATCGGATCTGAATATTGTTCCCTAATATTTTACACTTAACCAACCCGCGATGTATCATGTCCATTTCCATGGCTTTTCTCCGGTGCGACTGCCCTCTATGCTTCATACTATAAGCACATATCATGGGGGCTTTTCTCCTGTTTCCGGTCTCCCCCTGTTGTCTCCATCTTTGACAAGACCATCCAACATGTGTGTCCGCATGAGCTCATCGTGTTCACCGTGGATCAAGAGAAGAATAATGATTTTTACGAGGCTAATTCATCTCAAAATGAAATGGACTGCAGTGAGCGAATGAGTGTATCTGGGTAGCCGACGCCTAACCTCAACTGATTGAACCGTAGTTTCCACCCTTACGACATAATCTCTCCAGTAGTCAACACAATCACTGTTACGTTGTAGACAAACCATGATTTCGGATTACATGGAGACTTATTCAACTTGGAATCAAATTTGGCGTCGCATTTACGATCGTTCATCATGCAATTGTTGGCTTGGAAACAGTTACAACAGAAAGTCAACTTTATACATGAATTTTGGAGACGAACGGTCCCAAAAATGAACGCGAATGAAAGTAGTCTATGCTGTATGCACCTGAATGTGCGGATGCAAATCAAAAATGGATGGGTGGCCGCTCTTCCGACCGAGAGCATGAGGTACAGATATGTATAGGTAGAAAGTAGAATGAGTTAGAAAGGGAAGGGACTGTAGGCCAGATCATGTACTGTGCTGAGCACGAAACGTCGAATGGGATGTGGATGTCGTCAATGCATGCAGGTATGCATGAATCGGGGCAGGTCGGGAAATTGAAATTCAGCGTTGATCGTGAGGATATGCTTCAGTGCGAAAGGAGTTTATGATGTGTCGCAATTGAGCCCGTATCGCCGTGATTGTTTAATGCTCTGGTGACAAGAAACGCCAGGGCAATTGAATAAGCCGCATGTTAAAGACGAAAGGAGAAAAAGCGCCAGCTGAAGAATATCCAAAACCCAGGTATGATTCGCTGCGTTAGATGAAAAAAAGCCGTAAATGAAACCGACGGACTCCGGGTGGGTTCAAAGACGAAAAAAAGTACGATGGATGAACAACAAGAACGAGCCGATTGATCAGTCGATGCTCACGTCTAAAGGGTCTTCATATGCGGCCGTCGGTCGCTGCCTGAGGCCATATGTTCGTACTCCCATACTATTTGCTCGTACTCGGTTCTGCTGGATGGGGGTATAACTGGCTGCCTGCTTGCTCGACGGTGCGGTAATTCTTGTCTGATACAGACCTTGTTGAGAGGACATACCGTCACTCTGGCCGTCTGGCACCGAACCATCACCTGCGGCTGAAGGAATGCCGGAGGCACCATATCTGCGAGAACCAGCAAGGATATTCAAGCGGGATGTGGTCGGTGTATAGTTCGCAGGAATTGCAAGGCTTCTGCGTAGCGGAATGCTAGACTGCGGTGCGGTCGGGGTGCGTGGTTGCTGTAGCTGTGTACGCGTGGATTGATACGACAATCTGGAACCTTGAGGTCGCTGAGGATCTGAGACCTGTTGGGAGGCGGTATAACCATGCGCCACCCGCTGCCGCGGTGAGAGGCGCTGTGCCGCTGCTGAATTGTCAATGTCGGTCATCGCTCTTGAGATCGAGCGACTATGTGGACTTGGCAGGTCGGTGTCTTCGTCCTCGGGCTGTAGCCTCTTGCTACGCAATGAAGTTGAGAGACGACTGAGTCGGCTTTTAGGAGCAGATGCGCTGGGCGATGAGGGACTATTGCCATTTGGGAGAGCAGAGAGGTCTTTTTTGATGCTGCTGTTGCCGTTCGTATTGGCCAGGCTTTGCCGACGTGCCTCCAGACGACTAGATACATGAGTGGTGCTCTTTTGTCGGCCTGGGACTTCAGGTTCCAAGGTCATACTACGTCGAAGGGAACGATTGAGCGTTGACGACTCCTCGTTCGCGCTGGTAGGTAACTGGGTTATAGTGTCATCGTCGCCGGCCGGCATTTGCTGTTTAGAAAGCTGTACATCTGATAAAGCGAGACAGAGTTCTGTCAAGCTGCGGCAGACACTGTCGGCTTTTCGCCTAGACTGCCGGTCAGAGGAGCTGTAGCCATTGACAACCGAAACTCCACCAGAGGGAGCTTTATTAGTGCCTAATAGGCTTGAGAGCGCCAGCGCATCTGTGACTGCGGCCTCGAGCGACTTATACACCTCGTTGTTCAGTACATCTTTCGCTTTGAGTAGAGCCGATTGCAAAAGCGGGTGCACTGGATTAGTGACCGTGGCAGCCTCCGTTTCCGCCCCTGAGGGACTAATCTTATGGTTGTGGTTTGGAGAAGAGGATACGGTCGTTACTGTAGTGGTTGCAGTTCGGGGTCGCTCTCCAGAGACTGTCGATATCGCAGCTTGAGACGACGGCGGCAGCTTTCCGGTCAATTCCAGCTTCTTGATTCGCGACTTCAGATCCTCCAGCTCATCCCAGACTGTAGACGGAGCGGTCGTTGACAAGGTCGACTCGGTGCCATCCTGCCGGGATCGATCAGGCTCGGGCCGCGGCCGTTCTGTGACATCGGAGCCCGACGCCTGTCGACTACTTCGGAGGCTGGCAAGAGCAGAATGGCGGTAAACTCGAGGATCTTGCAGCGAACCCCTTCTTTCTATGTGAAGTTCTGCTGAGTAGGGAGATGTGTCTGGGCTTGCCTGACCAAGCCTACTTCTTGATATGCCAAGAGTGGACCTCGAACTCGAGCCTATTGCGGAATGTCGGGAGCGGGGATGGTCATCAAGGGGATGAGCGGAGGCCGAGTAGGAGTAAGGAAGGGCGCTGTAAGGGTTTGATGGGGAATTGTTGAGGGAGTGCAAGGGGGTGTCGTAAGTGCTCAACCGTAATTGATCAGGGGAAGGCGTCTGTTCATTCAATCGAGAATTGGGTGAACGAAGGTGACCGTTAGACAACCCAAGCCGCGACTATATTGTATTCAACTGCTGTCAGTAAAAGACCGCGTGAGGAAATTCGGAAAGGACTACAAAAGTGTCATGATCGCCGTCTAACACAGGTTGTCACTCACCCGTCTAAGTTCTGACCGCCCCAAGGAGTCGCGCCGCTTTGAGTCTGATCGGGCAATATTCAAGAAGATGTCCTCATTCTTGGATTTGGGATCTTCTGCGACTGGCGTTCTAGCGCCATCTTCTTGATCGGTCTGATCTAAGTTGTAGATTGCGCGATCGCGATCGCTTGCATGTGGGCTCCCCTGGACGTAAGTCGCTGTTGACACCGGCATCCTCCTCTTCACATCTGCCTGGCTTTGTTGCTGAGACTGTGACAAGGACTGTTTACGACGACGCTTCGATGCATTGAAACTCAAGGCGTTGTCGATCGAGTCGGCATCGAACGGTAGGGGAAAGTCGCTAGACTTCTCTGAGATTGACAACGGGGACGGCAAATGGGACGGAGAAGCAGGCGCGGTTGAATTGCGAACACGGGAGGTACTGAAGGTTGGCACTGACCGCCGAGATCTGTCGTACAAGAAAGCGCGCTGAGGGTTCGGAGTCGGATCAGTGTCTGAGGGGGTTTCACTGGGAAAGCTAGCTTGGGTCGGCAGGGCCCGCTTGTGCCAGGGAAGCTGATACTCGAAGCTAAATCGACTTTGCGGTAAACGAGGTGGCGAAGCAGAAGATGGATAGGGATGCGATGCTGATGATGAGCTCGAGTTTGCTGGTGCCGTTGTTGTTGTGGTGGTGGTTGTTGTTCCTGGTGCTGATGGGGAGGCGCTGGTACCGGCGGATATTAGCGTGGCTGCCCTGCCCGTGTCACGGGAGGCCGCCGCAAACATGACGGTCTGACGGCCTAAAACTTTAGGTCTGGCGTTACTCTGGTCGTCGCGATGAGACTTGTAGCTGGAGTCTTGATTATGTTGACGATCATCTAGGTCGCAGCGTGTTGTCTGTCGGCGTTTCTGAGAGTCCTCGGTCTTTGTTGGACCCGCCGATGACCCTGTCAGGCTCAACCTGGACGAGACAGAAGAGATAGTGGAAGAGAAAGAAGAAGGAATCGAGTCTGCTGCCCATGCAGAATTCGCAATCGATCGTCGAGCCAGAATGGGATGCCGGTCTCTCTGGGGTGCATGAATGGTACGTTTCAGAACTACCGCGGAATCTGTCTGTCGGCGACGACGTCGAATATAAGAGTTTGGGAGATCGTCTGGAGGAGATCGTGGGATGATGGTGGACACGGGGGAGAAAGTTACGTCTTTGGACATCTGCAATGTAGGTCAGGCATCGACAGGATGCACAATTGCATGTTCGAATCGAATTGGTGGGAAGACTGGCAGGTGATGATGGGATCATGCGAGAGATCTGGACTTGAACGTTTGGATTTCTGGAAACAAGCAGGGAAGCGAGTATCGCAGAAAGAAAAGAAAAAAATGCATCATAATTATCTACGGAGTACCACTCTAATCAACCAGCTCTACGGATACTAATAGCAGTAATCTCCATGACGATGGTGACTGATCTCATTAGACAGGGAAAAAAAGAACGCTAAATGGCCACCAGGAACAGAAACTGATGGTGGCTGGGATGATCCGGAGCTGAGTGGAGCACCTTCAGACGGGGCTACAGATGCCGGAGAATAAATGTTGATCAAGTGTATCTGAGATAAGAGAAATGACATTTGGTTGCAAGTCTCGAAAAGAAGATGGAGTTCGGTTAGCAGGATGCCTTGGTGTTCGTCCTCCGGCGGAAAATATAGAGACGCTGTGCTGATGGATAGATATCCTGACGCAGGAAACCGTGACAATTCCAACACAGTCAGTGTTTGAAAAGAAGTGGATAAGAAAAAGCCGTTGAAAGTACGTATGACACAAAACCCGAAGAACCGAGCAATTTTTCTCTCCTCTCTGCCTCGTTTACATAAAATGGATATAGTTTCTGGAGCAACAACAAACAAATGAAGCCGATGAACCATGGTTTATACAGTCTCCATCCTTTGTCCAAACTTTTCAAATACTATTGAGGAAAAGTATATGCCCAGTTTGACAGTGTGATCCCCACGAGTTCCCTCTTGAAGCTGATATGAAATGCTTCCTGAGTTAGCAAACCGACAATTCCACTGTAGTTGGCATTTGGGTCATCCTGGACTGCCACGTCCTCCCGCAGACCCCTTGCTCGACCATTCGAAGAGCACATCGCAGTCATTTGAATGATGTGAGCTTGATTATAGTGTCTGTTGACCGCCGCGGATACACAAAATCAAGTTCGCATCGCTTACCTTCCGAGACAAGGCCCCTTACTTCCTCTTACATGTCTGCTGCAGTGGTGTCATCATCGACTGGCAGAAAATTTTCTTGCGGGGAGAGGTAGATCATATCTCTGAACTTTGATATTATTGGGAAATGAGAAAGGGAAGCCGAGCTCTTATCTGAATGATAATTTGGGTGAAGTTCCTTTAGAGACTACCTCCTGATTATAGTTTGAAATGATGCAGTCATACTGAGGCCCAGCTCGGTCTGAAAAAGACGAGACATGGAGGACGTGTGGCTAGTCGAGGTGGTCATGTATGTGTATATAGATCGAATCTGTCCTCGTCAAACAGGGCTCAGTACGCTGCTGGTGCCTCCTATCGCTCAGTAAAATCTCAATGTCTGGAGGATCTTGATCACTAAGAAACTGAACGAAGATAGCATTAGAATTCTTGTTTTAATGAGTCCTTGAATAGCTCACCTGAAGCACGCAATAAGATATGGGGCGAGTGTGTGACGGTCTTCACAGATTTTGTGCTTCAGGAAGATTCTCCTCGTCCTCGGAGATCATAACTGAACCGAGCCCAAACGTTCACAGTTTAAGAAAAGGTTCGGAGAGGCCAGGAGGTCGATAATCTCCTGGAACGAACGAGCCCAGCAAGGTCATATGATGCAACCTTGATCTAGCGGTAGGTCAATTCAGAGCACCGGCTTAGGAATCACTACAAGGACAACTTCTATGTCACAGGAGGATCCAAGATACTGCTCACGTCTCCATGCTACAGCCGAACCTGAAAATTATTCTGAGCCATGGTCATATTTGAAACAAGTCCAACTTGAGACACATCAATTATCAAATAGTTCGATGGGAATCAGATTAGTTTATCACATGCATCAATAGCACCGGGTGATAAAGACCCCAGATATAGGCAACTGGTTAGAACCTCATCACTATGCCAACGACAGTGAGTTTATACACACCTGGGGCCGTTTTGGCTGGACACCCTCATATCGTTTGGTAAGGGCAACATTCGGTAGCAGTTGTGCGCCTTGTGATTCATGATTTGACCCAATTTATCCGAGCGATGACTCCTACCGAAACCCGAGTCAAGAGCAACGATACTAGAGCGCCGCTTTACGGAGTCAAGGAGCTATACGCCGTCTGAAGTATATTGGCCGGGTATGCGGGATCACGGAAACAATCTGAAACATATTCTGAATCCTCATATGTCACTACTTGGCACTAAAAGTGACAGAGCTCTCCGATTGAAGCTTTGGCCAAGTGGCCCTGATAGTTGAGGAGCCGTTAATGCTAGCTACCTCTAGTCTGAGACATGAATGATCAGTTAATGAATAATGACGCCGTCTTATGGAGCCGCTAGACTTGGTTTGCGATAATGGATTATCGAGCCGAAGCAACGCATCCGGGTTCTCGGCAGTTCCATGAAGCATTTGACCATGGATGATGCAGATCAAAGTCGCCATAGACCATCAAAGCCAAGGTACTTTCCGTAACTTGTATCGACCGCTGCAAGAGGGCGAAGAACCGACTGCAACGAGATGCCATCAAACATGACTCTGTGGTTCGAGTAATAATAGGGCGCAATAAGGCCAACTCCACAGTATCCCTGCTTGATTGACGTCTGAAGTCGAACTAGAGGTCCAAGTTCTCGAAATAGTAAAAATGGCGGTTCGCTCAATGATCATGAAGGTTGTTCAATATCAACAGTGTTTCAGAATGACCGAACAGCCACGTGGAAAAGATGACGGCTTGCTTCCCACCTTGGTAGGAACTGGAACATGAAACTGTGCACAGGACACTTGGATTAATTGAGTCCAACAATCACAACCTGGAGTTAGTAGCTGCTTCGTACTCCAGTGGAGAAAAACAGCGCTTATCATTTATAGTGAAGCAAAAGACCCATTGAGACTGGGGATACCTCATAACCCCAGTCATCCATGAAGGTGTCGCCACAGAATTAAATGATGATCGGATGTCATCTCTCCGTCGATCGAGGCGATCAGGTTGATCGGTTCAGGAGGTTGATTGGCCTGGAGATGAAATGTTGTTGCTGTCCATAAGCAAGCAAGAACACATGACTGGTCGTGAGTCCTAGTTTTGGAACTAGCGGCTCAGCATCTCTTCTGGTGCGTTTCAGAAACTGACTCTTGACTCCAAGAGTTCGAGTTAGCGCGCACCATTATTGCTAAGGTCGACTAGTTTGCCTCTGGCGTGTTTCAGAATTCAATCCCACAGAAGACGAATTTCTTCATGTTTTTCTTTCTCCTCTGCATAACCTGACAGGTCAGTGGGAAGATCTCACTTTCATGAAGATCAGACAAGCAAATGTCTGGATATCTAGACTACATAGAGGCAAAAGATGCAATTAGGCACACCTGTCAGTACTCAGGACGCAGCATCCCGAGTTTCCAAGTTGTTTGGTTGCGTGGTCAAATTGCTAGCCTAGTTTCCATCCTTGGCGATTTGATCAGGAGTCTCCATTTCGCCTTACTGATTCTCCTCCGAACGCCTCCAAGGGGCGCGTCTCGGACGATCTCGATGCGATCCTATGGTAGGACGGCACATTTCTTATGTTTCACCTTTATTCAAAATCAGCTTACTTGAGGCACCTGGGATATTTCGCCTAGGCAGCGGTTACAGAGCCTCTCGTCCGAATTACCAGCTGCCTAACTAGGTAGTACCTGACTGTGCGCAATGTAATCAACGTGATATAGAGATTTAGAGGTGTTCCTTGATGTTTACCATTTTTATTGCATGCCGATATACTTTCAGTATTTTCAGCTTTAGTTTTTCATCTCCTGCCCCAACCCAGAACGAACCAGCTCGATTCGAGCCTTGAATAGAAGCAAACAGCCGCAGAACCAGGTAACCGTGCACAATTAAAGCGGGTCAGATGGGCAGCAGATTTGGAATTCATCAAGTGTGGCTTTCTGATAAATACTCATTGATCTGTGATTTCTGTTTCGGAGAATTTCTTCATCATCTTCAGCAATCGTTCTGTGCTTCTTCTGGAAAAAGATCTCTCTGCTTGTTGTACTCCATACCTTCTTCGAGATTCCTTGACCATTGGCCGGAAAGGAGAGTTATTTGATGCGTGCTTGCTGGGGTTGGAGTATGGAGCCCATGGAAAAGAGTACTCACTACTCCGTACAACCCGTGTGCAAATGAAAATCCTGTCCGGATCTAGTACGACTGTGGCATAGACCCATGTTGAGCCGTGATACCCAATTCAAAGAGAGAGGACTTTGAGTGTTCTGCGGACAACAGCACAAGGATATCCACATAGCATTTGATTTGTATTTTTTTTCTTCAATAATTGACTTTGTCAACGTCTGTTTGCTATCAGCGTCGCCCTTTGTTCAGAATATTTGTCATGGCCCTTTTATCGATCTGTCTACTCCGTATTGGTTTGACATCTGCCACGCCGTCGACCTTTCCCGATCTTGTCTTTTACTTCCTTTGTCAGTCTGGCCTTTCCGAATCTTTCACCCCAGTAGCGTCGATTGTGGAGCCCGGTTCTGTTAATTAGTGTTGGACTTGGACTTGCACCAGACCCTTCTTGATTGAAAAAGAAACAAGAGAGGGGGATCCAAAGGGGCAGCCCGAGGCCCTAGGTTTTCATTTTTCGAAGAGAAACCCGAAACAAGGAAACCATCGATTCAGGACTACAACGGGTATAGGCTCCATTCACCGGATTGGTGTTGTATTCTTGTTTACATAGTCAGGTCCTCGAAATGTTGCATCAGAATTATGCTTACCCACCAGCCCCGGTTTCAGTTCCATCTTCAGCTGGAACATCACCTGAATGACCAAAGAGACTAGGAAACTTGGTGAGGAGATGAGCAATACAGATGCAAATCCGTTGTACAATCTACATCAGACATAGGACAAGCCGACTAGCTGATACCGCTCGTGTTGGCAGGATCTAGTAGGTAGTGTCTGATTTGCGAGCTCTTTGGCGCCCATGCTGCACATACCAGCCTCCCATATCAAGCTGGGCGGCTAAATTTAGAGCTGCAGGCGCTAAATGTCCCGCGGTACTGCAATATGATTGGCCTCCCACTTCGGGTTTACTGGGGTCAATCGGTGTCTACTCCACGGCTGGAAGTATTTTGATAGGCTGTCCATTAGAACGCAGCCCGCCATCCTGCCGGGGCTGTTTCCAATCACTTTTGGCTCCTTCCCGTTGGCTCAAACCACTTGCTCTGGCGTTGTTTTATTCTTAGTGATCTCTGTTCGTTTTATGAGTATGAAGGGTATGATTTTTATTACTACGTTACTTATTATTTATTTTTTATTTTTTTTTCGCCGTCTCTACAGTTTTATGATGGGCTTTCTGTGACTACTGAGGTAACAAGTCGTTCCTCCTCCTCTACCTCTGCCCACACTTATCGTGGGTCATTGTTGGAGGAGCCTCTTTCGTTTCCCTTTGGTTCTCATCTTCTCCCTTCTCCTCTTCTCTTCTCTTCTCTCCTTCCCCTCCCTCCGTCTCCCCTCCTCAATTGTCTCTCCCCTCCTTCTTGATAGGATCCTTTCCTACATAGTCGACTCGCCCTCAATCCCTCCATCCTGGTTGTGGGCAGTCGGTCTTGTCGCCATTCCCCTACCTTCCTTCTTGTTGAGCTCAGACCTGGGATAGTACTTTCGATACCCCATTCATTTCGTCATTCCCCGGAGGAACGACTGCCCATAGAAGACACCGGGCGGCAATTCTCTCCCCAGTCCTTTGCCTGCCAAAACCTGAACCGATCATAGTCATCTTTATTACTACATTCTCTTGCAGTAATCCTTGAAAACGGAGCAAACTGCTTTATCCTTTATCTCCTTATTTTCCCCTGACGGGCTTCGTTGTTGTGGCTACTTTGTCCGGCTTCCTTCCTGTTTCACAAATACAATCCTTTACCCGTTCGGCATTGGCATATTTCAAAGAGGAAACAGTCCTCTTGTGGCATTCCTTGGTATGTTCAACATTGTCTCAAGAGTCAGTCCATCCATCCACAGGCTGGCGCTATCCCCTCTGTCTACCTATCTCGCTCTTAGTCTTTCTTTCCAAGCATTTGTTCCTTGGTCGCCTCTTTGATCTTCGCTTACTCGTCCCTGATGAAGTCAATGGCTTTTTGATCCCTCTTTCTCATTTTTCAATAGCTTTATTGCTGTCGTTCGTTCTATACTTCAGTCTGATCGTCGGCCTGGTCTCACTCCTTGCAGCCGCGTTTGCTTCATTCTTCCACTTTGGGATACTTATGTTTTGGTAAAGCGAACGGAAGTTGGGAACATGGACGCTGATCGCTCTTCGACGAAAAGGTCGTTTGCGCAGGTAGCAAGTGCGACACTTCTTTCCTTTCAACTGTCTGGATGCAATCAGTGTACATCGGTTTTTGCACCAGCACCTCGCGAGAGCTGCGATCCTGAGAGGGTGTCCCCTTTCAAACGCAGATCCACTTCAAGGCCTTGGTCCATCATGCCTGTGCAAACCAGCCCACCGTCACTCCCGGACTCGTTCCCGTCCTTGATGTCGGTATTCGGTGGAATCTCGCCCAAATTCGCCGAGGGTGAGGAGCATAGCGCAGTACTCAAACCTCTCAGAGTTCCTCCACATGTTACCGTCAATACATCTCGGCGTCCACTTCCCTTTCGGCACCGGACGAGTATCTCGTCCGTGACTTCGGGATCCACAGATTCATCTCCTACTACCACTATCTCTACGTTCGACTCGCCATTGGCCGCAGACACCACTCCCAGCTCTTCACCCGAATCTCCATCGGCGATGCCATTGTCGTTTCCCAAATTTATGCCACCCTCGCGCAATATTGAACATCAATCACTCTCGGGAGAGCCAAGTACCATGTCGAAACCCTCGCAGGATGTACTAAGCCGAGCGCGTCCGGATTCTCCAGGTCGGCGGGCGCGCAATCTCAAGAATCTTTCCTTGAGAATGCCTCCGCCGTCGCAATCGGCGCGACCAGCTATCGCAACAGCCTCGGTAGTTGAGACAGCCTCCCAGCGCAATCTTTCCGCCCCACCCTCCCCCGCGCATATCCCTCCCAGAAGCAGTCGACGAAAGCCTGCAAATCTCACTATCCAAACTCCTGGATTTGACAGATCCTTCTCCAGCAATGTCATGGAAATGGTCCCACCAACACCTGGTGGCCTCCATTCCTTGAGACACACAGAGTCTTCGCCTTCTCTGACATCAGTGTTCTCGCCGTCTTTTGGTCCCAAGGGGGGCATGCAATTGCCGCGACCAGTGACGCACCATGGGAGCCGACGTCCGTCAGGAGCTTCGGAACATAATCTCTCGCCCCTTCAATCGGCCGTCGAAGAGGGCTCACCTGCGGGTGGAGTCCTGCATGAACTGGAGGAAGAAGAGGACCATCTGGACTCGAGAGAGTCAACCCGGCGAAACGAGCGCGGCTATCCGAATGGTCCTGTGCAAATATACGATTCCGGAGTCTATCTTTATTTGGAGCCGACGATGCAAGAGGCTGCTCAATTCGATGTTGTTGTGAACGTTGCGAAGGAAGTTGCAAACCCATTCGCTATTGCCCGAGGGAATAATGGAACGGTGATGAGCGCTTGGCGAAGTGCCTCAGCCGGCGCCAAACGCTCATCGACTGCGGAGCCGCCGACTGCGGTCTCGGAAGTTTCTTTCAAGTCTGCCTTGGAGTACCCCCCATCCGAGACTGAGTCTCCGGTCACGCCCTGCAGTGACTCTTCCCGGCCGGAATATATCCACGTAGGCTGGGACCACAATTCCGAGATTTTGGACGACTTATACCCACTGTGCGAGTTGATCGATTCCCGTGTTTCTGAGGGGAAGAAGGTCCTCATTCACTGTCAACTGGGCGCTAGCCGATCCGCCTCTCTAGTGATTGCCTATGGCCTTTACAAAAACCGGCACCTGGACTTTAATTCCATGTACGAAATCGTGAAGGGACGGAGTCGCTGGGTTGGGCCCAACATGAGTCTCATCTATCAATTGACCGATTTTCGCTCCAGGCTGCAGCAGCAGAGAGGTGCGTCCAAGCCTGCGCCGGAGGAATGGTTTGTGAATGGACCCCGAAGAGGCTCTGAACCCCAGCCTTCGAGATCTGGAAGGACAACAGAAGCGAGTCTCACTCCTCCAGGCGGTAGTAGCTGCAACTCAGGCTACTCTAGGCTCGCAACCCCAGCCAGCTTGTCACAAACATCCTCGGGTACTCTCTCTGTGCCCTCGACAGAGCGATCCACGCCCCCGTCAGTCAGCCCCTGGAGGATCCCCAAGTCTCTGTCTCACAAGCGAAGCTTGTCTCCTCGTCCTTTACCCCTTCGTCAGCGATTCGAAACGGCACAGACGGCTGCAAAGGATGTTGGGACGCGTTCTCTGGCACCGGCAGATTCCTTTGAAAAAGACACTGTCGAGGATCCGCTGGGCTTGTTTTCTCCACGGACGAGCCAATTCCTGGCGCCGTCTCTTGCTCCTCCATTCCCAGATGGGCTGGAAGATCGCCTTCCTGGCGGTCCTCCTTTTCGGACACAGACGGCAGACCCTCGGTCTCCCCCTCCTGGCAACGAGCGACTTATAATGAGGAATATTGATGAATTTTTATAAAACACTGCCTTAATGGTTTTTAAGACAGCCTGTCTCTGCCGTGATGCCTTGGGGTTACGTTGGAGAAATGATTCCATGACCTGATTCTTTTCATCATTCATTCTCTGAGCATTACTTACTTTCGCTCCTCTGTCTCTTTCCGCGTCTTCTTCGTCCCTCTGCTGGGCCACATTCTTTTATCTCCTTGATCTGTATTTCTTTTTCATTTATTCGCCATTCACTTCCACTTTCATTTGATCTTCCACTATTTACCCTTATGTTTACTATACTTTGATGACTCGATGACCAAAGCAGGCTTTGATGTCGTGATTTGCATTCTTATTCCCAGCCTTTATCAGCATTTCTTTTTCTCGACCAGTGAGTGACTGGTCGACTGGAGGTCTTATTGTTGCATTGATTCAGCATCGACTCGGTCTCGCATGCTTTTGTTGGTCGAACGGCGTCCGGGGTGTTTCAAAAGAACAAAGTGTGGCATTGTTTGCCTAATAACCTGTAATATTAGTGGTGTACTGTGACTGTGAGTTAGCCATGGCTTCAATATTTAGAAGCGTCTGGCGTGGTGCTTATTTTTGCACACTTGTTGGTGTGATTGCAACTCAAAGAAGGCGAACGCGGAATACCCATTGAACAGTATACTTGAAACAAATCCATTGAATGGTTGTCGAAATCCTTACTGAAGTAGATTACTGAGTCTTGTTGTAATTGCTGGTAGATTTGTCCACAGTAGAGGTCTTATCCACAGCGGGCCGAAACCCCGAGTAGACGGGCACTGATTTTGCGCTTCACGTCATCCAGTGATTCCTGTCCGTATCAACTTTTCATCGCCGCAGCCATAGACTACAGTAGCCATAGCACTGCACAGCGAAATCATGGCAGATGAGAATCATCCGGCACATCTGTCTCCCAGCGAACTGGGCACGAAGAATTAGTATGTAGCCGCATGAAATCGGCCTTTCAGAACATCTTCAAAGCCTACCCCGCGTACCCCTCCATCCGCATGTCAACAAGAAAATCACCAACACCACAAACAAGATGAATCGCTCAAACCGCCATGTCTATGAATCAGATTGATTCCCCTTGCTAATTGAACCTCAATGCAGCTGGGAAACCTACTACGCCCGAACCCTCACCCACCTCTCCAGTAAACACCAGCCAAACGCCCGACCAACCCCCACCGCCGACGCAGCTGTCGACTCCTCCGAACCCGAGTCCGAAACCGAATCTGTGGATGACGATGACGACCCAGGCACATCGTGGTTCTCCGAGCACAACGCCCCCGAAAAAGTCCTCCGCTTCCTAACGGACGAGAGCTTCCCGCTTGCGCCGTGCAATACCCTCCCCGCAACATCTACAGCTACAACCACCGCGAAAAAGCCGCTGAGCGATGAGGAGAGGCGCAGGCAGCCTAGCATCCTGGACCTGGGGACGGGGAACGGGAGTATGCTTGCGCTGTTGAGGAAGAGGGGCGGGTTCCGGGGGGTGATGGTCGGGGTGGATTATTCGGCGAGGAGTGTGGAGTTGGCGAGGGAGTTGCAGCGGTTGAAGATTCATTCGGCTTATTTGAGTGAGAGCGATTCTGAAGGGGAGGAACAAGAAGAAGGGCAGGAGGAGGAGGAGGATGTGGTTGTTTCGAACGGGGCGGAGACTGCGCAGGCGATTCCGGTCCCTGAGGAGGATAAGGAGATGACGATCAGGTTTGAGGAGTGGGATATTTTGAATTCGGACGGGCAGTTGGAGGAGGGGGGTCGGCTGGACTGGTTCCCGTATGCGCAGGGCGGGTTTGATATCGTTCTTGATAAGGGGACGTTTGATGCGGTTTCGTTGTCAGAGGAGGTGGTGGTTGAGGGGAAGAGCGAGGGGAAGGTGATCCAGCGCCGTGTATGTGAGCGGTATCCCGGTATTGCGCGCAGGTTAGTGCGCAAGGGCGGGTTCCTGGTTGTGACGAGTTGCAATTGGACCGAGGAGGAGTTGGTTCGCTGGTTCACAAGCGAGGAGGCCAAGGGTCCTGACGCTGATCGGTTGGAGGTCTGGGGACGTGTGGAATATCCCAAGTTTAGATTTGGAGGGCAGGAGGGCCAGGGTGTTTGCACGGTGTGCTTCCAGAGAGTGGACTAGATAGATCTTTGATATATATATGTTCATCATACAAAACATCATTCATGACACGCTAGTAAAAGTGGCTCTTCATAATGCTACATGCATGAGTTGTAACTTCTGAGACCTTTTTCGGGACGGCCACGACACACACCATCTCTTCCTGTTCTCCGGTGCCTCGCCCTCTCCCACAGGCACCAACCTCTGCGGACCTCTTCCTTTCCCTGCTACCGAATTTAGATCCCATTCACGATCCTCTCAATTGCAAAACCATTCTGCACTGCGGCCTGAAGAAAGCAACAATTGCTCGGCTCAGATCTCGTCCACGCAACATTCTCATGCTGAGATCGCATCCAGTAGCAGTCCGCAGCGGTCCTAAGGGTAAAGGCACCCTTATCCCCAAGAACGAAAGAGTCGTCGGAATGCCCCAATCGTGCGGTTGACCAGAAACATTGGTCTTTAGTGGTCTCGGGGATGACGGATGGTCCGTCGGGGTGACCTCTCCGCGACAAATGTAGCTACACTCCAGAGGAAGTGGCTAAACAGCTTTCAGCCTTCCTCGTCCTGATTCACCTTCCCTTCTTGCGACAGGGTCCCAATATCTTCGCCCCGTTCCTCACTCTGGCTAAGGCACGAACGTACCGTCATGGGATATATGAGGCAGGAATGCGCTCAAGAGATCCTCGGATAATTCTTCGCATTCTAGATCGATTTCACCTAGAGATTCGGGCGCTGGTGCAAAAACCGAAGAAGATGTTGGAGGATGGAGGGGTGCTTGCGGGGGAGGGGAAGAAGCCGAGTAGCGACATTGAGGAATTTGAGGCATTCCGGCGAAATGGTGGTGGTAGGAGTGGTCAAAGAAAGAAAGTTGAGCATTGTGTTAGAGCTGTGAGTCAATAAAGCTGTTCAGTAGCCCTGTGATTAGTTAGTAAGGAGCAAATGGTTCCGTTTTTGTTGATGAATCTGAAGCATTTCTCTGCTCTCCGGAATAAAATGGTGACTGAAAGTTGGGCATTATTTAGTTTGATGGGCGCCGAGTCGGCATGATATCTATCAATAGGTGTCTCTCGCTCCCTCGTAACTGAGGTGGACTGAAAATGAAGCCTTGGAGAGACAGTCCGTTTATCATAGTACCTCTCCTCTCGAGAGGTCCAGTAGGAAGTTCCTGGCGATCATGCTTGAGCAACGTAACTAAGGCATGCTGGGCTAGGTAGGTAAGCCAGGGTCAGGTGTCTCAATGGGTAAGAATGATACCGGCATGTAACAGTGAAATAGGCAGAGATACGTGTTTTCCCTATCTGGGATGGGATGGACACGGGGATCAGGTGTCCAATGTACTGTAAGGCATGGATGACATCATTTGTCTCTTCCCAAAGCCCTAGACCGGTCGATGGGAGAGCATCGCCAGCGAACCAGAGTACAAATTGTACGGCGTCAGTGACCAGAATTACAGTATGCCCATACGTGGACTGAACAGTGGGGTCAACATCCCATACAATCGATAGGATGAGGCAATTCCGATACGGGCAATGGGCGGTGCTGGTGGGGCAGCTTTTTAAGGAAGTCTCCGTAACTGAGTAAATTACCTGATTTATTACGCCTAATGATGTGATCTCCTGCTAAAGAGCCCGTGCGGATGACAGGGCAGCTGATCTCTTGAAGTCTTGCCCATAGTTCAGTATTCACATTCAGATCATTGGTGTTTGCACTGGTATTGCCCGATTTTTATGCCCTGTGTGCTGGAATTCCGTCCGAGCCAGTATCCCATCTAGATATTGGACTCGATCTACGCTGATGCTCGAAAAGTATTCTGGTAAGATATCATAAGCAGGTTCTCCCCAGGATGAGTGATATGAATTCCAGATTCAAAGTGGATCCTGAATGATCACATCGCTGCCAACTATTTACAACCCAAGTTATCTACTGCCATTTTTTCTTTGTCCTTGCAACTAAGGTAGCTGGTTGTATCTACGCCGTATTTCTTGCTGACTCTCGCCCTGTTTTGCCGCTGGCCCTTTCGGCCCCTTTAGTCAGGAACCTGTGTGATATCAAATCAAGTTGATCGGAACTCTTTTCTTCAGCCAGGGGAGTTCATCACTTTTTTTTTTTTTTTTTCCTTTTCTTTTCCTTTCCTCTCTTTTGTCAATGTTCAATAATAATTTTCCTGCAATCCTCAAGCTTCATTAATCTTTCTTTTTACTTACTTACTTACTTACTTACCGTCTGATCAATTGCATTCCCTCTATTCAGTTCCAGTGTACTGCTCAGTGTCCAGAACCCCCGCATCGCCTCGACTAGCGAATTTCCGCTGGAGCCAAAAATCCCCCCCGCAAAAAAAGGAACTGACAATCTTTAAAGCACGTACAGTACGGAGCACATAGCAACTATTTGATTATTATTTATTATCATTATTAGCATTGGCATTGGCATTATTTATTTAGCATTCTCCATTATTACTAGTTAAATGTTTTACCGTACGGTTCATGTTTGATCTTGATTTTATATCGCTCATTGATTATTATTAGTAGTAGTAGTAGTAGGTAGTAGTAGTATAGTATTAGTATTACCTAGTGGATTACCTAGTTGCAGCAGCAGGTGGATTATTTCCTGACTTACTTATCCAAAGGTACCTGGACCTCCTCTTGCTTGTCCACCAAATACCACGTACCTACTTACATCTACTCCGTACTGCTGCTGCTTCTCTCTTTCAGCTTCTCCTCTTTCTATCTTTCTTTTCCTTCTTTCCCTTTCTCTTCCTCCTCCTACATTTCCTCTCCTCTTCTCTTCTCCCTACATATCGTATCCTCTCATCCTCTGCACTCTCTAGTTTCTGGCATTCTATCTACTTTCCAATTGCTCATCTCGTCATTTGACTTCCAGTCCATATTACTCATTCAGCCTCCCCAGACCAATTCCAGGTGACTTTCCTCTTATAACCGGCCCAACCACACCACCCTCTCACCACTTTTTTTTTTTGGGACCATCACGACCAAACCTTAAAACACACAAGAAAAAAAGAGTTGCCTTACCTACTGCCTTGTGTTCACGGGGCTCTCAGCGATAAAGTTCGAGAGTCCACGTATACAGCATGGCTTCATTCAAGGTATTTCACCTACCTTCTTTTACTTTTCTCGTATCTTCTCTCTACATATCAGTCATGAGCCATGAATGACCACGTTAAGATGACCGCGCTAACTGATGTGCCTGCTCCCTATTCGAAGGAATTATCCCTGTCCCGACCACTACCTCAATCCACTCCTCGTCACCATGCCCACTCCATATCCCTTGGAGCGGTCAATCATAACCACCGTGTCACTCGTCGGAAGAGTGTCACCACCGCTGCTGCTGCGAATGCCGCCGCCGCGGTCGCCGCATCCATGAAGGACACCAATGGGGAACCGATAGGTGTGCCGATGCCTTCTCACCGTCGAGGCAGCACCAGGAGGGGCCTGGAATCCACTTCGGTCGGAGCTCTCTCCGGCTTCGGCCACTATCTCTCTCGGAGCATGAACAGCCCCAGCCAAGAACCCGCGGTCGCTCGCAAACCCTCGCCCAATCATTCCAACAACGGCGCTTCTTCCGTCGCCGCAGCTGGCGGCGAGGAGAGTAGTTCGGATAACAAACCCGTCAACACCAAAAGTCGAAACCGTCGGGCCAGCGAAGGATCGCACTTGGTCAAAGGCGAAGGAAAGCGCGCCTTGGCGGAACTACGCTGCGATCGCTGCGGGAAAGGGTATAAGCATGGCAGCTGCTTGTCCAAGCATATGTGTGTATACTCCCCCCCAAATGCCATCCTGCAGCCTGGATCGAATCGGAGCAATGCGCCATGTCGGCTCTGTTGCAAGGTCGCCCTCGTGGTCATTCAGCTCCCCGCGTCTCCCCAAATCCCTTTCCCCCCTCTGAGGCTTTCTCACCCCTCATGGCGATACCAGTCGGTTGACGTTTGTGGTCGAAAATCTTTAGGTGGGAACATGACCCGGCATGGGCCATTACGTCGAAGCTACTGATCTCCAAGCATCAGCAAGTTCAGCTGCTGGAGGCCGCGAGCGTCCTGGTTAACATGAACCAGAACGGTCCTTCAGAAGGCGCCGAAGCCGAGTCCGACCAGTCATCTGCGTCACCCGACACCTCGTCGGAGCTTCGCGACGGCATCAGCTCGGCGGAAACTACCCCTCCTCCTATGGATGAGGACGACGAGGACGAAGAGGACATGGAGATGTCGGGCATGCCCGTGTTCCCGAACAAACGATACAGTGTGGGCAACGTATCGGCTCACTTTTCCCACTCCTACCAGTCTGTTCCCTCGAGCTCGTTCAACGGTGATGCTCCCCTGCATTCGCCTGCCTTTTCGTACTTCCGGCACTCTAGCATCGACACCCGGCCTTCTACCGCCGAAGCCAAGTTGCATGAGGACGATGAAGCGGATTTGGCCGCTGCCATTGGCCTCTGCAATTTCGGAACGCCGCGCACTGGACCTGTGCCGATGTCCCCTGGCATTCCCCCGGTGCCCCCGCTCCCGTCTCGGTACCTCGATCAAAGCAACGGTACTGGCAGCATTAGTCAAAGCCTGGACCCTGCCGCTACTGCCAATGCCAATTCGTCCCTCACCGAGTCCACCCCGAACATCTTCCTCTCTGTATCATATAACCCATCACTCTCCTACAAGGTCTCCGACGAGCGGGAAGTGAAAATGGGTGATGCGGATCGCGTGCAAAGGCAGAACCGCAATGCCGATGTTGACTTCAGCAACCGTCCTGCTCATGCGGATGACGATGACGATGGCGTCTTTGGTCGCATGGAGGAGTAAGGGGTTTGCAGGTACCATTCTCCCACTGTGTGCCGCATGTTTCCCTTTAGCCTTCCTATTATCTCATCTGTCCTATCCTTGAGGGTAGATGACACAGCTGTGCCCCAGTTTGTGGTATTTACGATGATGTATGAGCATTGCTTTTGTCCCAGCCATTTGTCCGTGGTTTCTGCGTTTTTTTTGGACTTAGCATCCCCGTTCGCGTCTAGGATAATTGTCAGGAACTGTATACCCGAGGCTTGCACCTTGATACCACCTGACTACCTGGGCTTTTGAGATGCATGATGGATATTACTGGCCTATTCAGCTGCGTCGCATGGGCTCTTCCTATTGACCTAACGTCATATTTTTTATATCCTTCCCTCATTATACCTTTTCATTGTTCTCGTCTTGGTACAAACCATCTCATGTATCATTGGTCTCAGGATGCCCATCCCCGGCATGTTTCCTTTTCCATATACAACAGGACATACCTCATTTGCCGATGTCTACGACTGTCCGCTTTTCCTTGTTCTATGTATACAAATCCTCTGTCGAGTGAGTTGTCAATACGACGATATCATACCTTATCAAGCATTCATGTGACAACTGTAGAAGTGATTAGATGGTGTTGTAGTGGAGTAGCATTGATGTGTTATGGAGAATTCGTGCCAGCACATCCACAATCCAAAATAAATACATGAGTCAACAGAGATCGAACTTCACGTGCGTCCCGAAATCAGATAGCACCAACCATGCAAGTACAAAAACGATAAAACAGGCCCAGTATCCACGCAATGCATCATCCATTCCCGGTCATATTATCATGGTCATATTATCATAGTCATAATATCATGGTCATAATATCATGGTCATAATATCATAAGACATCGACCTCGTTTCGGGGATAACCATAGTCAACCCTTCCTCCTAGCAACTTCTCCTTCTCCTTTGTAAGATACTGCCTGTGTCACCATTGCATCCTTCTTGTCGGCAGTAGCCAATTTCAGCATAAATGCCCGTTTTATGCAGAGAATGCGTCCATGGGCGAGCAAAGGGACCTGTTTCCGTGAAGACGGACTTCCATGTGTGAGTGGAGAGGGAAGGTCTCGCTGATTGCATAGAGCGAAGACGAGATGAGTTTCGAGTAAGCCCCAGTTAAGAGTCCGAGAGTCAGGCGGATGGAGATGTATGTCGCCGCTTGTATGTTCTAGCAAGCAGCTTTGCGCGACGACGTGATGATGAGAATCCGAGAGCCAATGATCCAGGTTGAGATTCAGTTTGTGTTAGAGACGGAAGGCATGTGGCTCGAGAAATGGAACATAGTTTCTCTGGTCATGAGCTTCGCGATGTGAGAGTAGAGAAGGAAGTCTTTCGAGCCCGTAAAGCAGAAGGTTGTGGTCTGTGCCAGATAGAGAGTCTGGTTGTTCGAATTGATGATCCTGATCGAGGAGGGTTGCTAATGAAGAGCCCGTTGCGTTTGAGGCAGTGGCTGATCTTACCATTGGATTGATATTGCCTGTGGCTTGATTCTGAAGGTCTGATATCCTGTGCAATAAGATTGATGCGTCTGTTTCTGCGGAGGGTAGAGCCGGTATGACGACTGGTGTGTTGCTTCCTGCGGCGGCAGTAGGTTAGAGCTGAAGAATGTGCTAGAGCTCCCTTACTCACCTGTTCCTGTGCTGGGTTCTGACATGATAGTATCGGCATTTATCCATTATGGGCAGTGCCAGCAGCATAATGCATTCATCCTAGGGGATCGCCCGGATGTGCTCCAGAAGAAGCAGTCCAGCAGGGTTGAATAGAAGTTGGATGGGGGTTAAGGAGAACGACGCAACTCCAATATTTTGAAGTTTAGACTGAAGTAGCCCTTGAGACTGCGACTCGAAGTAGTCAGGTTGAAGCGTTGTTACACTGATCACCGGCTCGAGGTTGCAAAGTCGCTTCATGTGTTATGGCTGAGTGATGTGGCAGAAAAGCTTTGACCAGGAGCACTCAGCGGAGAGAAGAGTCATTGCGAGACAAATGAAAACAATATGAATCTGTCTGAGTGCTCGCATGGACTGCTTGCACCGAAGTGTTTTGTCAAGGTGTAAAACGTGGTGTCGTCGGTGGTCAAGGTATAAACGTGGTATTGCCGGGCTCAGTCTCGGACCTTCAACAAGACGAGCAGTTTTTTTCTCAAAGAGAGAACAACCAATAGTAACTCATTCACGGAGGGCAAAGTACTACCACCCGCGTCAGAAAATGAATCGCAAGGCAAGATCTGGGAAACTCACTCGACAACCACGCTTTACGTGCCGTACCGTCACTCACTCCCGAACTCCACCGCCAGACGCACAACTGACACCATGTCTCACCTTAAAACTACCCCGACCCGCAAGAAGTCGTGGCGACCCAAGAGCGGCCGGGCCAGCATTCACAGGAAGCAACCAGGCTGCGAGACCGGGAGGTCCAGTCCGAGGACTGGCCCTATCAACCGACCTTGCCTTCGGCTCCTGAGGAATGACTGGCCCAAGAAGAAAGGGGAGGATACGGAGGCACACATCTCGGTCCCAGTCGAAAACTGCGAAGTCAGACCGGCGCAGTACTAGACGAGCTAGTACTGGCCGTAGTAGTAGTAAGGAGGCGGTTGGCTGTACATGAGTTGCTGCCAGCCGTACGGCGACGGATACACACCCATAACAGGTGTGGGAGCCGGGCGAGGACCACCAAATTGCCCGTGCCTCGCGTCTTGCGACGGGACCCTGTTGCCTACAACAAGAGGCGCCCGGCTTTGATTCGGCACTGGAGGGTCACAGGCGGTTGGACGAGCTGACGGGGAGGGCGCTTCATGCGCCGCCCCGTTCAGACCTTCTTCCCGCTCCCTGAGTCTCCTTGCGTAGCGCTTCCTCTTGGCCTGGCTGGGTCGCTTGCGTCTCCGACTGCCAGAGGTAGGCGCGCCTTCTGCGTCGGCCTCTGGCTCTTCGGCCACCTGTGAACCTGGAGAGTCAGGGACCGCCGAAGCGGTATGGCTCTCCCAACCGGCGAGCAAAGCACACACAACTTGGAGCACCAAGATTGGTGACAGGTTCTCCGGACGGCGGAGCACGAGGGCCCACTTCCGGGACGGGTGGAGAGCAGACGAACCGACTATATCGGACGCGCCTTGGGCGGTGCCCGTGAGTCCATCGACGACGCCGTTGGGATTGACTTTCAGCCCTTTGACGGTGCAGGAATCCAGTTCCGGGGACACTGCGACGATCCGCTGGCGCTCCAAACGAGAGATCGCTTTCTCCACCTCAGGATGGATACTCACGAATCTCCACGTCTGTTGCTCTTCCAACGGGGCCGTAATCGCGGATCTGGTGAGAGCGTCAACATCGGAGCTGGACACGGCAACCCCCGAGGGCATTTTGCCTTCGACCAGAGCGTCCACCTCTTCGTACAGAGATGGAGCACTGTCGGCCGCAAGGTAGTGGGCTACCTTGGGTGTACCCTCGAGAAATTGGCCGAGCCAACCGAGTTTATCTCCCAGTGCGGAAACACCAAAAGAGACAAGTCCCTTGCAAAGGAGCGCAATGAAAGCCAATAAACCCCATGCAACGACCAGACCGACACGAGAAGACGACGCGGGCGAGTTTGATGCCGCCGTGTCGCAGTCCACGGGACCGGAGTCCACGCAGATCTGCAATACGTCGGCCTCCTCCCACAGCGGGATAGCCACGCTGATTGTCGACTTCCGCGTGCCGGTGACGTTCGGGAAACCTACATGGGCCGCAGGACTTGGGAAACCAGTCGAGCGGACGTACAGGAATTCCTTGTGCCCAGGAGCCGTGTACGTGGAGGTTATGGCCTCCGCCAGGTCGTAGATCCCCTTGGCCAAAGCCGTTGCACCTACGGCGTCGGATATGGTCCTCACGAACCTCCCGTGAGAATCATTGTTTCCTGGCACTTGGAAGAATGATCCCCAGAGAGTGAGGAAGATAAATCCTCCGACAAACGGTAAAAGCATTTTCTGTTCTCTACAGTACGTTAGCCACCAACACTCGAGTGAGCTTCGAACGGAGAACAAGAAAAGAGAGCACAGCAAAGCTGCTTAATACTTTTTTTTTTTTTTTGTTTGTTTTAAATTGTTTAAAACGGCGCAGAAAAGCAGTCTGATTTGCTAGTGAGAGTTGTCTCGGTGATTAATGATCAGTGTTGAGGTAATAAGCTTGGTGACGATGAAAGAGAGAGAAGAGAGAAGAGAGAAGGAGAGGAAGAGAAGAGGGGGAGGAGAATGCCTGTGAGCAACACTTACTGTATGTCGATGGCAACTCTCATTCACTATCGAAGGTGAATGTCTCGACAGTGAATGCTGTCAGGGTGGCTGGCAGGTGAGCTGGTGCAAGTGAGTGAGAAACACCCCATATATGAGGGATAGAAACACAAGCAAGCAAGAAATTAGTGTCAAGCCTTGTATTTGAATAGAAATGAATCATATATGAACACCAGAAGGGCTGGAAAGGTCACATATAGGACAAATGCTCGTGATAAGGTCCTCAGGATATGCTTTTGTGATAGAAAACGGTTGAGACACAGAAAGAAACCTAACTCCACCATGTAAACCCAAGATATCATATCTGATGAAAAGGAAAGCAAGAAATAATTCAGCAAAGAGAAACCCCCTAGTCGAGGTCCATTTCCTCCTCGACACCTCCATCCACCAACAGTCTTGTCTTCTTCCTCTGTCTGAGCTTCTCCTCGCCGACCACTCTGCTTGATATCTTGCTGACATCCAAAGGCTGGCCCTCTTCTCTCTCCCGCAGTTCCTTGCGGATGAGGTGCTCGCCCTCCGCAACGACCCTGCGGTCTTCCTCGCGCTTGCGCTCGCGGGCCAGCTTGCCGCCCAGCCTGCGTTTTGTGAACGCACGCTCTCTGCGGGCTCTGATCTCCTCCACTCTCTCCATGGCCTTGATGGTAGCAGCAACCAGGTTTCTGTCGTACTTGACGGGGGTGTTCCGCTTCTTGGCGAACTGAGACAGCACCAGGGACGAGTC